TTATTAAGGTGAGAATACATAAAACGCTTTTTTGGCTGGTTTAAATCATTGGCTGGATATTTTTATAAAAACAACAACTATGGGATTAAGCCTAACTATTTTGCAACAACAAAATAACTACGGTATCCCGAACAAAAATGCAAACACTATAAATGTATGACAAAAAATAATTCAAACAATTCTAGTTGTTTAGCTTCAAATATATATATATTAAAAAATTTAGGAAAATTTTCTAAAAAAAAGTAAATTAAAAAAAATATATTTTAAATTTAATTTTTTACTTTCAACAATAATATTTCTATAGATATATTTTATTTAATTAAGTCTTTTAAAACTATTTCTAACGAGATAAAATATTGAATTTATCATAGTTCATAGAATACAAAACCAATTGTGGTTTTCGATAACAAATATTAAGGGGGTTCACATAAAATACTTTTCGATTAATTACAAATCAAGAAGTCGACTTTTTGACTGGGTTTCTGGAAAGAATCAGCCGCTATTAAATATTAAATTACAGATATATTTTCCTTTTTACACCCTCCACCATACTATGGAGGGTACATTAAGTTTGTCATTCCGTTTGTAACACCTCGAAATATACACTTTAGGCCCCACAAAGTATATATAATCTGAATCAGCATAAAATTCTATGTCGATTTATCGATGTTCGTCCGTCTATCCGTCTGTGGAAATCACTCTAGCTTCCGAACGAAATGAAGTGAGTTGATAAAAATTTACTCAAATGTGTATTATGTCTGCAGAACTTTTGGTATTGAAAATGGGTCGGTATTTGAAGTTCGTAATGGATGGTACATCCTAAGACAGAAAATTGTCTGTGCAGGTCCATGACTTCGGATAGCCCCCATATAACGGTACCACCCTCTATTCGGTATTTTGATGATTTTAGCGACATTATTCATCGGAATTGTTTCAAATTTGGTATTTGAAGTTCGTAATGGATTCTGCAGCCTAAGGCAGAAAATTGTATGTGCAGGTTCACATTTTGGTATAGCCACCATATAATAGTACCTCCACATGTCCATGTCTTCGTATAGCCCCCCACATAACAGTACCCCCTATATTCGCCATTTTGATGATTTTAGCTACATCATAAACAGATTTTTCTTCAAGTTTCGCATGTAAATATTGTAATAACTTATGACGAAAGTTGCCTATGCAGGTCCACGTTGTCGTATAGGCATTCAGTATTTTTAAGATTTTAACAGAATTTTTCACGGATTTTATTTATGTTTTTTTTTTGTACCAAATGGTGGAGGGTATTAAAAGTTCGGCCTGGCCGAACTTACAGCTTTTATACTTGTTTTTTTTTTTTTTTTTTTTTTTTAATTTCCGCATTTGAATATTGTGATAGCTTATGCAGGTCCATTTATGGTATTTATAAGATTTTAATTGAATTTTTACCGGATTTTATTTTTTTGAAAATTTCCAAATTCGTTCCAAATGATGGAGGGTATTCAAAGTTCGGTCCGGCCGAACTTACAGCTTTTTCACTTGTTACACTTTCAATAGTGTTCATATACAAATGTAGTTTCATGTAATGCTTGTTACACATTCCAATGTGCGACTCAACTAACTTTCCCACTATTTATTTAAAAAAATCAAACAAACATAACAACTTGTGGCCCATGTATTTATGGGTGATTGTACAAGTCTTCCATTTAGGTCAAATTTATCCTACCTTGCCTTAGAACTCTAATAGTTATATCCATTATATAATGCCAATTACTATATGAGATAAAATTGATTGAAATTTAAGTATGGTTCTCATATCGCTTTCATTAAAACCCAATATGAATTTTATTGCCATTCAATTCACACAAGAGCACGTCAAAACTCTGCAGCTATCAGATGTCATTAACCTATGTAAAATGAAATTATTTTGGCGTTTGCAAAAGACAAGTTGTCTGGAATCAGAGTTGTATTTAACGACCATAAATATACTTCGCCGATTGATGCCAAAAATGCGACGAGGTTTTTAAATTGCAATCAAGTTATAGCACGTTTACAGTTTCGGGATTTAATTAACCCAGTAGATTCAAAAATCCTTTCCTTGAAAATAAAGCCTGCAAAGGTCTCTAATGTAAACATACAATTACAATGACAACGTCTTTGTCACACAGACAAAATTTGTTACTTTTTACATTGTCTTGCCTTTTGTTAAAAAAGAGAAGCATCTATAAAAAATAATTCCTTCAAAATTGTCTTTAAAAAGGCATTTCTGTTTGTCGTCAATCACTTTCTTGGCCATTAAATCAATAAATGATGATGACAACTTTTAAAATGTTTAAATATTCATGTGAATTTTAACAATTGAATATCCCTAATGTAATCGTATTAAAGACACTCCATCTCTCTCTCTCTATTTGCCGACACATTTACATAGAACGAGGGTTTGCAAGTGGATATTTTGTACAACACATTTAGATAGTCGTTCATATCTACAAAATATTATATGTCAAGACAATGTTGATGTATTCGCATAGAAGACAATGTTGGAACATACACATGTATGCTATTTATATACGTATGTGGTTCCTATCAAATGTTAGTGTATCCCTGACAAACGAGCTAAGAGCAAAGAACTATGTGGTTGTCTGGTAGAGCATCTTTCAACTTTTAAGCACACTCAAGCAAATATGTATTTGGTTTCTATTTAGAGGACAGAAATTCTGCAAGCCCGCAATCGAGATTGTGTATTTTGGTTGGTTTTCTTAAAAATCAACTTTCATAACAAAACAACCCCTTGAAAATGGGAAGCAGACGAATGTTGTTTTTTTGGGTGGGGAAAGAAAAGAAAAAAAATTGTAAAAATTCCTTGAAGCAGTTGTTTGTTTTTTAAATAAATTTTCATAAAGAGTGGTCAGTTAATGTGGTTTCTAGGATGTTTTTAATGTAAATCGGATAAAATACATATGCAAATAACCCCTACATGTCCACGTGCATATGCATAACTAAATACAAATCGGATTAGAGTTAAATTAGTTTTTGGGGTTTGCTGAATATGAAAAGTTGTAGAAAGAAGAATGAAGAAGAAAGGTAGAGAAGTGTGCAAATAAATGAAAAACGTATGTTTTTATTAATTTTTGCTGATTTTTTCAGAAAAAAAACTTTTTTTATTGTTCCACTTTTAAAGCCCTTCGGCCTTTTATTTAAAGCATCCCCCACAATGAAAATTTTTTTTTTCAGAAATAAAGTTTCCCTCAATCAAATTCAATTATAACGTTTCTTTTGAAAGAAATATATATATTTTTTTAAATCATATGAAAATATAAGAAAATATCTAGGATAATTGAAGTAAGAAAAAAAATAAAATTCCTTGCTCTAGGCACTTGACAGAAATGTATCAACGTTATATGTGTCAAAAAATATATTTACAGGGTGAGATGAAAAAACTGCAACTATCTTCAGACTGCTGTCATTTCTAAACCACTCGTCCGACAGCTGTTGAAATTATTCCAGTGACAGCTCATTATATTGTTTACAAGCGTACAAAAGCATTTTTGGGAGAATTCTCCAAAAAAAAGTCATTCGTGTGGAATTCAAGCGTGATAGTGTGATTTCTTTATATTTGGCTGGAAAACCACAAGTGGTTATCGTTAGAACACTCCAGCATTTAAATAAATCTTTTGTGTCTCGTAATATCGCTCGTTACCGGGAGCGTAGCCCGACGTCAAGAATGTGGACGGAAGAAAACAGCAACATCACCAGAAATGGTTCGAAAAGTAAAGAAGCTACTTCATCGAAACCCACGTCGCATTGACCGAAAAATGGCTCATGAGCTGAACATATCGCAATATTACATTCGGCAAATATTGAAAAATGAGCTCGGGGTAAAACCATTGTAACTCCAAAAAGTGCAAGAACTTACACCGCAACAGAAAGAAAATAGACCCAAAAGAGCTAAAGAGTTGCTTCGCTTGGCCGAAATTGGTGAACTGCCGAATTTGGTTTTCTCCGATGAGAAAATATTAATTGTCCAGAAGTTTGCAAAAACAAACAAAATGATTGTGGTTTCTTGCCAAAGAGGTCCGCGGAAAATGTGCACCTTCAGTTGGCCACCAAAACTCAAGCTCCGGCCATGGTGATGGTGTGGGCCGCCATAACAGCCGATGGCCGCTCTCCACTCATATATAAATACCGAATATAATCGCGAAAATATTCTGGAGTGTGTATTAAAGCCCTGGGCACGCAAACATTTTGGCCGCAGACCTTGGACATTCCAACAGGACTCAGCACCATCGCACTCATCACGCGCCACCCAAGAATGGTTGCAAAATGCGGTTCCTCGCTTCATTTTCAGCGCTCAATGGCCACTAAAATCTACGGATACCAATCCGGAGTATTTTGAAAAGCAAAGTTGGCACTAAAAAATACCAAAGTGTCGATCACCTCAAGCAAGCGGTTCGGTTCACCGTAGATCAACATTCGGGCAGCAGTGGCCGCTTGAAGGCCATAATTCGTGTCAAAGGTGGCCAATTCGAACAAATCTAAACTTATTCTAAAATTTGATGCTATTTCCGAAATTTTTTGCTTTCATTCAATAAAATTTTTAAAAAAAATGTAAATATTATGGCGTTTGACTTTGTTGCAGTTTTTTATCTGACCCTTTATGCTCTGTTACAGAACCTACAAGAATCTACTAGTTTTTCTATTTTTTTTCCGATATCATAAAGGGAAAATCTGTTATCGTTGTAAAAGCTTTTACATTCTTGCAGTTCTGGAACAGAGTAATAGTGAAGTTTCAAACGAGTACAGTTTTTTTCTCATAAGAAAATAAATTATTTACTCAAGCATTGAGATATTCTTCATCCAAATTCTGAAAAACTATTCACATTTGTCTTCGCATTCCATTTCGTAAAAATATATCAAATTTTCTGAGTGTTCAATAAATTAACTTCATTTTTTGACAAAACTATAATTTACAATCCTGTGTGACCACAACTCTCCATTATCCTCCTCCTCGTCATCATCATCATCTTCTTGGCCACCATCATCACAGTGAACATCTTTGGCCACATATGGCGAGTGATTCAAATTGCTGTGCGTTTGTAATGCCATTCTGGTAAGTTGTCTATCGTCGTATCGGAAAGCTTTTGTTATAATAAAAAACAGTAACAACAACAACAACTCCTACACATTTTATTGACTCTGGAGTTGTTATTTGTTGCTTTGTCGTCCTTTGGTTATCCACCACTGACAGTTATGTTGTTGACGATAATGTTTCATTATTAATAAAGCAATTTATTTGATGAAAAAGAAAAACAAATGAAAACAGAATCGAAAAACAGGCACTGCCCCCGTCTTTTGTTTTGGTCAAATCAACACAGCCCAGCAACAGGAACAAGGAAATGGTAAACTGTCCTCCCATATAAATTCTTCTTCGCAGGACATATTATTGATGGTTCTGTGTCAACGTCATTTGTGAAATGTGTAGCAGAAATGATAAACTGACCTCACAAAATGTGACCTCAATGACAAAAGAGGATAATTGCTACGTGAAAGATGGAGTTTATGAGATTATGTATATAATGCGAGGCGAAACGTTTAACTTGACCTGTAAGTGTATAAGAGAAAATAGCTGGGAATTCTGAAATACCTGCAATATTAAAAAAACACTGCAGGCGAAGGTGTTTCGAGGGAAACATTTCAGTCACAGCTAAAAAAATATTTTCCATTGAAAAGCACATCTGCGAGAAAATTCTTACAAGTTAAGCGATTACCGACTGTCAGGCATGTTGTGTTTTTTCTTTTGAGAAATGTTATAATCTGATTGTTCTGAAAATGTATTTTCCATGGTTGTAGAGTAATTTAATTCTTCGTCAGAAATTTGCATCTGAATTGCATGCAAAACACCCACCGTGTGGTTTGTGCGAAACACTGAGTTATTTGCAAAGGGGTTTCAGTTTTTTGTCCGTGCAGACATTTTTTTTCTGTCCTTTACAATATAAAGGATTAAGGAAAGGACATGACATGTAGGACAATATGGTACCCGCACTACAGGTATTTAGCAGTTCTACCGGATAAAATCGGATTTAGCTATATCTTGGGATGCACAGTAAATTTTAAGGGGGTATCCTTTTCTACTGTGGTTGACCTCCCAATATTGAAATATAAATTGAAGAATGCTTAAGTGAATTTTTTTACACAATAATCATCAGCATTTACATAGCATATTTTAAGGCGCTTTTCAAAAATTGCTAAAAAGAAGGAATCGCTTTTTAGCATAGTATAAATTAATATATGTTTTTTTCAAAACTAGCAAGTGCCCGATATTTCGTCATGTTATATACCTTCCAACAATTCATATTAGACCTTTTCATACTCTTCACCTTATATAGAGGGTATATTAAGATTGTCATTCCGTTTGTAACTCATCGAAAAAACAATTTTAGACCTTACAAAGTATATATATGCTTGATATGCATAAAATTCTAAGACGATTTAGCCCTATCCGTCTGTCAGTCTGTTGTAATCAAGCTAGTGTCAAAATGAATTAAGAAAAGAAGCTAAAATTTTGCACAGATCAGCCTTTTGTCTGCGGGCAAGTCTGCAAGTTCGAAGATAGGCTACATCGGTTGAGGATTTTAACCAAATTTGCAATGGTATGAATTTGCAAATCTGAATTTATACACAAGGAGTTCTTTGTGAGTACTTTACCTCTGAAAGAGAATAGTCTATAGCCCCCATATGACGGCACCTTCCGATATTCTGTCTAAAAATCCACATAAGCAGTTCCTTGTGAGAACGTTATCCCCTGGAAGACAATTATCTATATAGGTCCACGAAATCGTACATTCACCATATAACGGTAGGTATCTCCCGATATTCGGTATTTTGATGATTGTAGCAATTTTTTTTTAATGGAATTGTCTGAAATTGTACACAAGAAGTTCCTTCTTAGTACTCTACTCCCTGGACGAGAATTGTCTATATAGGTCCACTATAACGAATAGCCCCCATACAATAGTACACAATACTCCCTTTTTACATGATAGCGACATTTTTACCGGAATTTTTTAAAATTTCCTATTTAAAGTACGTAATGGCTATCACAAACGATTGTATATGCAGGAACCACGTCTTCGTATAGCCCTCATATAACGTGTTTCCTTTGAGCGGTATTTTCGATGGAGTTTTTTGGAAAATTTTCAAGTTCCTTCAAAATGGCGATGTTTAAAATTTGGCCCGGCCGAACTTAGCTGCTGTTTTATTTGTTAGTACTCAAAATGCACAAATTTGTTCTGTGTGTTACAATTTTTAATCAAAACTACATACATCGTACTAAATTTTCGGACTTATTCAAGTTTTTGCTTTTTCGTAAAGAATAATAAAATAAAATGTTTATCTTGACATCCATATCAGATTTGAGGATTTCAACTCTATCCATTCCCCAATGCCAAATTTAGTAGCATTAAGTCCTAGATAGAGTATGCATTTTTAAAACAAGCTGCATTTCTCAACCTCAGACACCAACAGTGACCTTAATCTAAAATTTCAGGATTCCAGTTCTATTCCTTCAGCCAATACCAAATTTAGTACTATTTAGTAATCGTACAATTATAGCACACATTTCCAAACCCATCTCCATATTTCAATCACAGATACAAACAGAGACTTCAGTATCAAATTTCAGATTGCAGTCATATTCCTTCACCCAATACCCAATTTAGTACCACTTAGTACTTTTCGAACAATTATTATTATAGTACACATTTCCAAAACCACCTCCATATCTTCACCACGGACACTGACAGTGACATCCATAGCAAATTTCAGAATTTCACCTCAAACACAGATAACTTCAGTAATCTAAATATCAAATTTCACAGTTGTATCTATATCCCTTCACCAAGGCCAAAATAGTAACACTTACTACTTTTCGCACAAATTCGTACATTTCTGATAGCAAATTTCAGTTTTTAAGAACTAACTGCTCCCCCAATACGAAATATAGTACTATTTAGTACCTTTCGTGCTCTTTTAGTACATATTTCCAAAACCAGCTTTAATTCTCAAACCTACCACCAACAGAGATTCCAATATCAAAATTTCGAAATTCCATCTCTATCTGTTCACTCTAAACCTGAATGTTCCAATATGGTAACATTTTGACAGTTCGTACACTTAGCACACATTTTCAAAACCAACCTCATATGTCCAGGCTATACATGAACAGGACCCTAATACCAAATTTCAGATTCCAAGCACTTTTTGTTCACCCAATACCAAATTGTAGCAAATATAATACTATTTAGTACTTTGCTTGCGCTTATAGTACACATTTCCAAAGTCATATCTTTATCACAAACCTACCACCAATAAGGACCCAAATACAATATTTCAAAATTCCAGGTGGACCTATTCATCCTAAACCTAACAGTTTCAAATTTAGTACCATATAGGACAGTTCGTATACTTAGTGCACATTTTCAAAAAACCAACTTCAAATGTAAACCCCACTGTCTAGCCTTGGTTCTCATACCAGATTTCTATCGAACATTTGTTTTTATCCGTTCATTTTAAAAGTTTAGCATCATTTTAGAACTTTTCGTAACATTAAAGTTGAAATTTTCAAAAACTCTTTAGTACATCTATTCTGCACTCCATCAGTGACTCTTATACCAAATTTCATAATTCTATCTCATTCTGTTTGTCCAATACAATATCATTTTTATAAATTTTATTACTATTCATACCTTTTAGTATGAATTCCCAAAACCCAATTTCTAAAACTCTGCTGATAAAATTAAATTCCTGAAGAAAAAATTTATGACTTTCACGAAGACACGTCAAGATGAGAAGTCATTTCTAAATTAAAATAAATATTTTTGCCATTATTTACGCCTCAAAGTAAACTAATTTACCCACAGCGCATCTTAATTTATACATTTTCCTGCAAGTACCCATCTAAGAGCATATCTATGTAGATATGTAATTTGCATTTATATAGTATGTAGTTCTTACTTTAATTTATCCTACATAAATATATATTTTCTTATGAAAATTACATCAGAATAATATGTAAATAGAGAGGAGGAGGAGGAGGAGGGAGAGAATTTTCTTGTCATCTCGTAAATTAGTATTCATAAAATAGGCAAATAAAATTATGACTATAAACATACTCGTATGTATGTATATACATTTGTAGTGTGTATGTATGTAAGTTAACAGATGTTGCAAAACAACTGATAATTATGTTTATATTTTTGTGGCTATCATTTGCATACCCCTCAAGGGCTACAAGATAAAGAAGTATCTATCTATTTGCTGTGAAACCAGGTGATGGCACATTCGACATGAATGGTGAAAAATGATATATACCCTCCGTAGCCATATGGCTAAGGGTATAAACAATATTCAAATTTGCACATTTTGATTCGGGAATACTGTGCCGTGAAAACAGTTCTCATTACTGAAAATATTTGTCTCCTTGATTATTTCAAAAGACTATCTATGCACCCATGTGTATATGTTTTCGTAATTGACTTGTCCTTGAAAATATTATGTGTATACACACACACACACACAGATTTAATAGTAAGTTTTACCTGGGTTTTCAGAAGTGATCCAGGAATAACCTTTAGTTTATTTTACCACAATATTGTCCATGTTTGTTGGTTTGGTTTTAACACTACTAACACCAGAAGAGTACGTTCTAAAAATTACTTTGTCACACGTACATAAACACACACACTTAAATGGTTTTTCAATATTTTGTTTCGAGGCAAAAACTAGATGGTAGATGAAGGATAGATGCACATTGCAAGTAGGTACGTAAGAATGCCAAAAACATTCGTTTTGCTTTTTGACATTTTTTGTGCCCTTAGAGAGGTTCAGATGGAAAAGGATAGATGTAATAAAAGCAAATAGTGAAAAATGAAAACCTCGTAGTTCTTGGAATGTTTTTCCCAACATTGTCTTTTATTATTTTTGAGTTGCCATAGAGAATAGAATGGACACTGCATATTTCATTTTTAGTGTCCGACTTGATTTGCCGTGACTTCGTAATTCATGAGGGGAATGTAGATTTTAGGAAATTGCGAAAAAGCAACAATTTAAAGG